AACAACACAAAATTTTGTGAAACAGACAATCATACTGTTAAAAAGATATATATAGACTCAGAAACAGATATTTTTCATCTGAAAATGGAATTACCTACTCCACAACCAGAAACCCTCATCGCTTTAAATAACTTTCTCCTAAAATGAAAATAAGATCCTGCCTCTCAATACAATTTGAATATTGCATCACATAATGTATTACTATAGGACCCTCTGGATGCCACCAGAAACTTTGATTTAATGCTGCTTCTTGACCAATCAATAGAAGTAAATCTTAATAACTTTCTATTGCCAGAAGAAATAGAAGATACTACCAATTCTATTCTAATCTTAGAAACAGAAATAGAAGACACTACTGATCTTATTTTAGCTTTAGAACCAAAAATTGAAAACTTAGAAGACTCTATAACTATTCTCCTAACTAATGTATCTCAAACTATCCAGCCAATGACTAAAAGCTTAACCAACCCGTTTATTGGTAGAACTTGGAAAACCCAAGTAGACAAGATGTTAACCCAACTAGCTACTCAAGGCTGAACTAGAAAAGACCTTAACCAAAAGATACAGACATATTATTATCTTGAGAAACTTCTCGACCAACATGCAGACCCAGCTATGATAAAAGACTTTATCGAAAGAAAACAAAGCAAAAGAAAAGCTAAAGACACTTGGCGTGGTGCCTATCGACCTTATGAACTTTTTAGAATTTGCCCAAAGGAAGTTATTTCTCAGTTACAGACACTAACAGCAACAAAGCTTATTAAGCTAACTGATGGTGATTATCATCGACTCCTTGATGGTTGCAAGTAGGGATGGGTTCGGTCACGAACGGTCACAATCATTCATAGTCAATTTGCTAAATACTGAGAAGATTTTTTACTTTTGAGCTTTTAATTAAAGTTGTTCAGAATTAAATTCTGATCATCTCATATTATATGTGGAAAGAACGATACCTTCACTGGAACTTGGAATTTCAAAATATGTTACTGCCATGACAGTAACATATTTTGAAATTCCGAGTTCCAGTGAAGGTATCGTTCTTTCCACATATAATATGAGATGATCAGAATTTAATTCTGAACAACTTTAATTAAAAGCTCAAAAGTAAAAAATCTTCTCAGTATTTAGCAAATTGACTATGAATGATTGTGACCGTTCGTGACCGAACCCATCCCTACTTGCAACCATCAAGGAGTCGATGATAATCACCATCAGTTAGCTTAATAAGCTTTGTTGCTGTTAGTGTCTGTAACTGAGAAATAACTTCCTTTGGGCAAATTCTAAAAAGTTCATAAGGTCGATAGGCACCACGCCAAGTGTCTTTAGCTTTTCTTTTGCTTTGTTTTCTTTCGATAAAGTCTTTTATCATAGCTGGGTCTGCATGTTGGTCGAGAAGTTTCTCAAGATAATAATATGTCTGTATCTTTTGGTTAAGGTCTTTTCTAGTTCAGCCTTGAGTAGCTAGTTGGGTTAACATCTTGTCTACTTGGGTTTTCCAAGTTCTACCAATAAACGGGTTGGTTAAGCTTTTAGTCATTGGCTGGATAGTTTGAGATACATTAGTTAGGAGAATAGTTATAGAGTCTTCTAAGTTTTCAATTTTTGGTTCTAAAGCTAAAATAAGATCAGTAGTGTCTTCTATTTCTGTTTCTAAGATTAGAATAGAATTGGTAGTATCTTCTATTTCTTCTGGCAATAGAAAGTTATTAAGATTTACTTCTATTGATTGGTCAAGAAGCAGCATTAAATCAAAGTTTCTGGTGGCATCCAGAGGGTCCTATAGTAATACATTATGTGATGCAATATTCAAATTGTATTGAGAGGCAGGATCTTATTTTCATTTTAGGAGAAAGTTATTTAAAGCGATGAGGGTTTCTGGTTGTGGAGTAGGTAATTCCATTTTCAGATGAAAAATATCTGTTTCTGAGTCTATATATATCTTTTTAACAGTATGATTGTCTGTTTCACAAAATTTTGTGTTGTT